GCTGACCACATATCCAGGTAAAGGCCGCATCAGTCTCATTTGGCACACTGTACCTAAGAAAGGGTCGCTTGTGTAGCGAAAAAAAAAAAGAACCCATTTACGACTTGGCGTATGAAAAGATGTGTTAAACCAAGCCCTCCGTGTTTCACTTTTCGAAACAGATTAGTTCGACTGCATCTCTCCCAGTTCTAAGCCCACACGAACACTGCGAAGATGCGATGTAACGTCTGTATCTTTGCCCTTCAACAATGCAATACTTGCATCACATACCAAAGTTTTGAGGCAAAGAAAAGATTACAGACAGTCGCCCCAGCAAACACTGACAGATGATTACCGTTGCATCTATTAGCTTTCGTCCGGTTTTCTTTCGCTTGTTCTTGCCAGTAGTTCTCATTATCTCTATAAAATTCCAGTCATCGCCGGTAAAAAAACCCAGGAACTTTCATACAGCTCTAATAATGGACAGCTATGTCCATCTAGTGGAAGACAAATCATGCCTTTCCAGAGGCGTAGAGGGGGCGTTGCGTCGATTAAGCAAACGGCAAACGCTAAATAATGTGCTGGCATCTGTGAGGCATTGTGATACTATGGCAGAGGGAAGTGGCCACACTGCACAGTCACTGCGTTACTATAGATACGTCGTGCATGTGGGCGCGTTTGTGTGTGTGTGTGTGTGTGTGTGTGTGTGTGTGTGTGTGTGTATGTGTGTGTGTAACAAAATAGATTAATAAGTATGCACTTAGCAGTTGAAGGGCGCACTAGCGGCCGGATTTCGCTATCACGTTCAATCTTAAAGGTCTCCCAATTGTTTTTTCTGGTTTCTTGCGATGTGGTTACGGACACCGGCGGTGCCGGCGGCGGCGGACAACTGGGTCACACGCAGTTGTGATCTCAAAACAGCTTTCCCTGTGAAAATTCCAGTATTCGCACACCCCAACAATAGATATTACCTTCCTTCCCGAAGTATACGGTGAGTTTCCAACAAACCTAAACTGCGGAGATGCACGTCATAGTGGTGAAGTGGTTACAGTGCTTCACTGAAAGTCTGAAAGTCGCGGGTTCGATCACTATGACAGCGCTCGCATTTCTATGAAGGCGATATGATAGGTCAGTTCATGGTGCGATGTTAAAAACACGTTAAAGAGCATCTGTTGATCTAAATTTTTGAACACCTGTGCTTAGTTGTGCCTCATGACGATATCGTGGTTTGCGTACAGAGTCATCTAACTGTAATTATTTGAAATAGTAGGGCCTTCTGCTAGATTACCTGCTTAATTACCACCTCGTTGGTTAAACTGGTTATGGCAACTCAAATTTCCAAGGCAAAACGCCGGTTAGTACAAATCATAAATAGCACCGCGGTAGTTCAAAACAAAGTTATGCTACAAACTTGTGTCAATCATTACATGACGTACCCGCATTGTCAGCATGATAAAGGTTTTTTACACAAGGAGCCTGCATTAATTATGAATATATCAATCATGTCTCACTTGGCCGAAACGGGTATCTATGAACTTTTATTTATGCTGATCAAATTATATAGAGTGAGTTCCCAACGCTTTTCTCTTCAGGGCTCTTGGAAAATAAACCTCAACGTTCTCGACACAAAAACACTTATATCCTAATTTAAATAGCTTAAGCTTGATCGAAACCGCAAAATGGTAGCCTACACTGGAAAAATAAGTAAGACGAGATTTTCAGCTCAAAGTAGGAACAGTACTCCCGTGTTCTGTGTCCGTGAGTATTGTGAGTTCTTTGTCAGCCCAGTGCAAAGCCTGTGTTGTTCCTCGCAACTCTTTTTTCAATTATAGCTCAACGGCATCTTGTTTTAGTCGATTGAGTGAACGAATAATATAGAGAACGCAGATACTGTGCAAGAATTTTATTATTCTATTAAAATTCGTACACTTCAGTGGAGTCTTCAAGGCTGGCTCACCATCATTCTGTACAACGGCTTCTGCGGAAAGGCTTAGAAGAGCGCCATTTCTGTAAAAAGAAAGATAATGGTATATGATTGTGAGAACTTCAGAAATCGAGGTCGTGTACAACACCTTTGAGAGAAGTAAGGAACTTACACTTCTTCTTGCGCAGAAGGGTGGCGTAGTTCAGGGGAGAGCCAAGGCCATAGCCGTAGTTCAGACCATAACCAAGCAGACCATGGCCATAACCGTAGTGACCACCACCATATCCGAGGGAGCCAACACCATAGCCGTAGTAGAGTGGGGCGGAGTGGGCGACACCATAGGTAGCGATGGCTGGGGCAGCGTGGGCAACACTGTAGGTAGCGACAGCTGGAGCAGCGTGGACGGCAGCGACAGCTGGGGTGGCATGGACGGCTGCGACAGCTGGAGCAGCGTGGACAGCAGTCACAGCTGGGGCAGCGGCGTAGGTGGCGACAGCTGGAGCAGCAGCAACAACCTGAGCGGCCTGCTGGACAACCTTGGTTACAGCTGGGGCGGCTGCGTAGGTGACAGCTGGTGCCGCGGCATAAGTGGCGATAGTTGGGGTAGCGTGGACAGCAGTCACGGCTGGAGCAGCTTGCACAGCAGCCACGGCTGGGGCAGCGTGCACAGCGGTCACAGCTGGAGTGGCGTGGTAGGCGGAGACAGTGCGGGTGACGGCTGGGGCAGCGACCGCATAGCTGGCGGCTGGCGCATAACCGTATCCGTAGCCGGCATAAGTGGTGGTAGTTGGGGCAGCGTGGACAGCAGTCACGGCTGGAGCAGCTTGCACAGCAGTCACGGTTGGAGCAGCTTGCACAGCAGCCACGGCTGGAGCAGCATGCACAGCAGCTACAGCTGGTGCGGCGTGAACAGCGGTCACAGCTGGGGCGGCGTGAGCGGTGGTCACAGCTGGGGCGGCATGGTAGGAGGAGACGGTTTGGGCGACGGCTGGGGCAGCAACAGCATAGCTGGCGGCTGGCACGTAACCATATCCGTAACCGACGCCGTAGCCGGTGAGGCCGGAGTATCCAACGCCATGGGCAAGGCCGTAGTTGGAGAGACCAAGACCACCATAACCAAGACCGGCGTAACCGAGGTTATTGGCTAGAGTGTAGCCTCCGGCAAGGTGGCCAACGTGACCAGCAAGGGCACTTGTGGCCAGGGCGAGGATAATGCAAGAGCGTAGCTAAAAAGAAAAAAAACAGTTCTGTATTTTAAAAAGTCACTTATAGAATGCTTGGATAGCTGTGCGTGTGCGTGGATATTTATTATTAGTCCTGAGTTATGACAGTTGCGCGATATTCTCGTTTTTTTGGATTTCAAGGATGCTTTGATGGACGTTGCCAAAAGATAAAAAACAAGGGAGACGCTATTCGTGGGTGAGCACTTTGTAGCGGCCTGCGACATGTTCGCGAATGGAAGAAGTGGCCCCCGCATGGTCTTTCTATTCCAATGAGCTCTTTTATATGCAACCAAAAAACCCTCGAGACACCAACGTAAATCTCAACATTCGATACAAAAATGATCCCTTTCAAAGCACGAATATTTTATCTCCGTGTATTTTTGACGGTGCCATTCTAATTGTTCAAAGATGCACAAACTGGCCCAAGCAAAGGCAATCTTAACTTCAGTTACTTTAAGTCTTGCATATTGTGGCTACGCTAACTACGTGGGAATTTTCATGTTTTGTTTAGTTTTTCCTAAACGTGAATAGGTGTACATCCTAATAATTCTTGTTGGCTAAGAGCACTTATCAACGGTTATGAAGCGAACCAAGTTTTACCTCAGGAAGGCCGGATTTTTTGTAGGCACTTGCGGATATTAATTCGCGAGGAATCAATTGGAGGTTTGCAAGAGCAAAGAGAAATAATTCATTGACTTACCATGGTGGTGGGCCTGGTCTGTTAGAGGAGCAGAAGCTTGGATCTGGGTTCATGGCGAATCGTCTTATATACCTGGTGCTTGGCTTTAAAATTTCGCAAAATAGTATTAACGCCAGTCGAGAAGAATGTCAAGGTTAGCATTATTTTTTCGTTAACCTCTCCCAAGCGTACATTAGCTGCATTGGTAAGATTCACTTACGTTATTTTCTTGCTTTCCAATGCGGAAAATGATCCAGTGCTTGCTCTCGCTTATAAGAAGTGATGAACGCAATGTCAGTGATGAAATTGGGTAAAATTGAGTGTTCAGCTGTGACTACTACAGCGAATGCCATGATGAGAAGGGAAAGAAATACGTGACGGCTCGTTCACAAGGTCTGAAAAACCACATACTTGTGTAAACTGATGTAGAACAGACACGTTCCTCCGTGATATTTTTTTTGTTTCACGTACTTGGAGAAGACCGGCCGCGGAGAAACGTGTAATCCAACCGGTATTTTGACATGTTAAGAAACTATGGGCGAGAAGGACGATAGGGTGAAGAAAAATAACTTAGTTACTTTTTGTACGTAAAAAAACCGACCGGCCTTTTGGAATACTTAAGTCACTCGCTTATGAACGTTAACAAAACTGTAGTTTTAAGAAGATAAATTTAGGTGGACAAACACAGCACCTAATAAGAATTTTTTTCAACGGCATTGTAGAGGGAAGAGAAATCTTTAGACATAACGAAACGCCAGTCAGAAGATAGGCGTGCGCACAGACAAAAAAAAAAAAACAAACGAGAGGGGGGCTGTCCTTTTCCTCTCTATAGATCTAAGAGGGGCAGAGCTGGAAATATTCCCCACACAGTAACTTAGTAGGCGGGGGTTGCGCTGAGACGATGCTTTGCCCTGCCTGATGGAGAATACTGCGCATGCCTATGAATCAAATTGGAGGTTTACAGTTCAAGCCGGCTACACGACACTGACAATCATTTTCGTTAACTTAATTCAGAGGTCGCTGTTGCATTATTTTCACATAGGTTTCAAATTTCGACGCTTTGAGAGTAAATGTAGGCAAACTGACACAGAAGCGCAGTGTTGTCTCTGTAGAAAAGGTTATTTCACATGAATAGCAGTGTATTGTGCACCTGACCGAATGGTTTTCAAATTGCAAACTGTCAGAGAGCACTGTTAGATTTTCGCTGTGTAAGACGAAGTGGACTGATGCCCATTTTTAAGGAAGACTTCGAAGGACTGGCTGCAGAGTATCGTAAGCTTGTGTTACTCTTTGAGCTGGTTGAGATGTCATTCAGTCTTGGAGAGTGCGCATGTGCTGCCTAATGAACGCAAACACCATCATCAATTTTGGTCTGTGTTGCCGTGTTGCCAGCAGATTCAGCACCTGTTCTCTTTGAGTGCGCAATGGCGGCTTTTATCGGCGACTGATGCATGCGGCATCCGTCACCACTTTTAAGGTGCCCGCGTTCTTTAAGCGTTTAAGAACCGAAATTGTCTGAACTACAGGGACACTGTATGAGTATAGGCGGCACACCTCAAGATCATGATAACAACGCTGTGATCCATAGTTTGCACTAGCAGGCAAAGAGTTTTTTTCATAAACTGCACTTCTTCATTGAACAATACGCTTGGCGTATTTTTTTTTTACACAGGCTCTTTTTATAAGGCGTCTTCTGAACGGCACAACATAGAGCAGAGAAGGTGGCGCAGTCACACACCGAAAAACTTGAGCCGTGTTTCTTCCAGCAACCATAGGCTGTGAAACTCCTGATCAGATAGGTGAATATAGCTTGGGTTTAATACGGCCCGTTTGATTGCGTATATATATGTCTTTATGACCCCCTTCATGTTACTTCGAGGACCACTGCAAGAAATAAAACCAGGGCTTTGGAGCTTACATGCTGAAGCCCGTGCCGTCGATTGGTTGATTAATAATCTAATTTAAAGGTGTGGTCAAAGCGTCTCGCCTTTTCTAGCTCAATGAACGACAGTTTACCACCTCTTTTGTAAGACAGTGTTTGCGGTGCTATTGTGTGAAAATTACTTGATGCCGTTCACTGCGCGTTATATTTTAGTTGCATCCACGGCGTACCTGCTCGTGTTGTGTTACACTCAGGCTGGGATTCAAACCAGGCGTTATAAAAATGTCAAGCAGTTTCAAACAGGATGAGGCAGGGCGCACAGCAAGGAGCGCATACAAGCCAGAGATTTACGTCCGAAAGTGGTATAGTATATAGTCATCATCAGTGCTAAGTGGAAAGACAGTAACGAAAAAAAAAATGATTGCTTTTCCTCGAGGTAAACGATGATGACTGAGTAAATATCGCCCTCCACTCGCACACATAAATGAGGGAAAATGTGACTGTGTACAGTACATGAAATGTTTTATTCGTTGTAACTCCTATGTTGTGTTGAGTTTTGCATTCCGTGTTGCCTTTATTATTATTGCTATGTGGCCCGTGAAAGACAGAGGCAATTATTCTTCGGTGGAATCTATCCTGAAGTCGGCGGAGACGAGGTCTATGCGAGTTTTTCGTATATTCAGGTCTTTGTAGGGGGTGAATCTTCCAGGTACATAAACCACGCGTGAAATTTGCGTTTCTTGACTGGGCTGGACGTATACGATAGCCTGCTTATCAGTTTTTGCTTTGTGTGCTCATCAATGGCTGCGTCGTCGAGTATGTTTTTAAGAAAGCATCACACCGTTTTTTAGCGTCAGTTGGGGTGTTGACCACTTGACCTTTCGAATCTGCACTGCCCTTGCCATGCTTTTAACGCCTGATGCTCAAGAACGGGAGCCGCGGAGCACTTATTCGCTGCTTCCCGAGCTCTCGTATCTTCAGCGGCCTGCTGTCTGCGTAGACGCTGAGCCGCAGCGTGCCACGTACGCTCTCGAGTTCGATGTTGCAGCTTGTCGGCGTTACTGCTCTGCCGCTGCATCCCGAACTCTCGCCTCTGGGCGAGCTTGTTTTCTGCGCCATCATTGATTTTCATGGGCGAGATCATGTCACGTTCATTTTAGTGGCAGAAAAAGGATGTGTGGTCTGGAACGTGCTTACCAATCATCGTCATGAGCCGCTACAGAAATGCACATATAGCGGAATAGTGTAAAGTCATTGTGAGTGCTAAGTGCAAGAATAGTAAGGAAAGAAAAAGGATCG